TAGTAACTCATAAGCTTTAGCTAGAGCTCGTGAGTTGGGCTCAGTCATATCTGACTGCCCATGGTTGCTGATTGTTTCGGCTTATAAGAAATAATTGACACACTCTTGTGATAGAGACATAAGCAGTTTGACTCATGTAATCTTCAGAATAGTAGCCTTTATAATCATCCAGCGCTGAGGGATAGCTCATAACAAGTAAATCTGGGGATATTGGTCTCGTTTCGGACTTGTGCGTAAATGTATTGGCCGCATGTTTAGACTTTGCCAAGTTCCAAAACATAGGGATACCTATTGATGCCTGATTGTCACTCTATTCCTTGACCTCCGAACCGCATTTGTTTGTTGAGCAGGAAATTTGTGGCTGTATTTTCCACTGAAAAGCTCACTAAGAAGTACAACCTTTTCCTAGGCTGTTCACCCAAACACCAACTGATCTGCAAGAGGAAGCTAGACTCAGAAGCTTACTAAAAAAGGACTAACATTGGCCGTGAGTCTTCTGTCCTTGCTATACAAATTTGATTCTGAAAGGATCAGAGCTTAAAACAAACTGGCATCGGAATTGTCATTACTAAGTGGGTTGTGTTAGGGTTGTCCACTATCCTTTTTATGTAGCTGTTTTGTCTTTCTGTAAATCATGGGTTCCTCATAAAACTTTCCAGCGGTTAGCTTCTTGGAAACCCATTAAATGATATGGACTAAGATGATCTTATTTTGTGAATATCCCAACATAATACAGTGCCCTGAGGCTCTTATTGCTAATAATCCCATCACTACCTCTTCTACTTTGGTATTCGCCTTGACAATTTCGTCTCGGTGTGCTAACGGTGTATGGCAACTTGAACAGATGTACGCATGTACCATACTGACTGATATGGCCCAGTATCGTTCACAATAACGCAGATCTATTAACTTTTTGTTTTCCTGTCGATTGTCATCACATTCATCTGCACCTCTTTACTCTATCTTTTCATACCTGATTCTCAGTGCCTACTCTTCCTCATGATTATTGCTACTACACTATTCCGAACAATTTTGCTCTCGACCGTTGCTGCTACCTTGACGTGGTGGTCGGGCTTGCCTATCGTGATGAAGCAATCGAGCTATGCTGGCTGGAACAATCGTTCCTCGAGGTCCTACCATTCCAGACAGGTCGGTTGAAGAGCGGTGAGACTAAAAGCAGCAATCCCAAGGTCCGAAGGCGAAGTCGTACTGCCGACTGTACAGAGGTGTGACGGCAGTAAGGTGTTTCCTTCAGACAACCAGCATGACAGCGATGCTGCCTTCCCACAAGGAGGGGTGGGTTAGAAAAGGTCGACCCTAAAAATGCACACCTCGCCTTATCCCACGGATTTCCGTCTCCGGCGGTAAGGTCCTTTGAGGAACGGAGCTAACACAAAAACTACCCACAAAAACGTCGTGTGACCGACCTCAAGCAGTTGTTCCTTGGGCACTGTGGTCACGCTCCCAGGTCGTTAAGACCGTCACTAATCCAACTTCTTTTTCAGGTCCCTCAAGAAATACCATTCCATTGTGTGGGTAGCCGGGAAGTGATATTAGCCCTCATACCCGTAACTGCACACGAGACCAAGTTGGTCACATTCAAATTCTTCCTACACCTCCTAATAACTCTCTTATCTCCACGACTAACCCTTCCCACATCCTTTTATCACCACGCACCGCTAGGGCAAACGATTCGTGTACACGGAACGTTATTACTGGTCTCCTGAAACCTCGCTCTAAACTACATGTAATAACTTTTAATGTCCGAACATTGTGCCAAGTAGGACAACAGGCTTCCTTAGCTAGGACTCTAGAATCTTACACCATCGATGTATGCTGCGTCTCCGAAACGCGCATACAAGATCCGAGTAGTGTCATTCATTTGACCTCACCTAATCAAAATAAAGAACCATCTCGATACACGCTTCGTGTATCTGGAAGCCCTGATGCTGCTTCCCGTGACCTCACTGGAGTATGTATAGCATTAAGTCGTAGGGCAGAACTAGCTCTTTTAGACTGGATCCCAGTAGACAGTCGTCTATGCGCTGTCCGACTAAACGGATCAGTAAGGACTCGGAAAGATAGGGAAACTCGTCGTTGTCTCTTCGTCGTCTCTGCCTACTCTCCCACTGACTGTAGCTCAGACGATATAAAAGATGAGTTTTACAGGAAACTTTCTGACCTTCTCCGAGAAGCTAGGCGTTCTGGTGTAGTGATAGTGGCAGGTGAATTAATGCTCAAGTAAATTAACTAAGTGAAAGGGAAAGACACCTGGGAGGATCTTATAGTGTCATGGCTAAAAGAACAGATAATGGAGACCGTCTGTTGCAGCTGTGCTCAGATAACCGCCTATTTCTTGCAAATACTAACTTTAATCATAAGGAAAAACACTTTTTGACATGGCGACCCCCGAATTCGTCCCAACGTTGGACCCAAATAGATCACATCGCTATCAGCCACCGATGGAGGGGCTCGATAGAAGACTGTCGCTCATTCTGGGGCACATGTTTAGATTCAGATCCGGCATTAGGAACCCAACTATTAGCCAAACTAACTCAGACAAAGACGGGCATATCGTTTATTCTCAATCCAGGAGATTGGATCGATGGGCAGAACACGTTAGGGATCAGTTCAACTGGCCTTCAGCCACACTTCAGTTACCCACGATCCCCAGTCGTCCTGAAAGGCAAATTGAGGTAAGTCCTCCAACTCTCTACGAGGTTGAAAAAGCTATAGGTAATCTGAAGCGAGGGAGAGCCGCAGGCCCTGACAGGTTTACCCCTGAGAATTTTAAGGATGGCGGTCCAGTACTAGCAGCGAGATTGACTGAGGTCTTAGGTAGAATCTGGGAACTGGACGTAATTCCATCTGACTGGTCTCAATCACTGATTGTGCCAGTCTATAAGAAAGGAAAAAAGTCCTCCTGTGACAATCACAGAGGAATCAGTTTGACTAATATAGTGTCTAAAATCTTAGCTTCAATAATACTTCGACGCCTAACCAAAGCTCGCGAAGAGCAGACTAGAGAAAACCAGGCTGGTTTTCGACCTGGACGTGGTTGCATAGACCAGATATTCACTCTAGGTCAGGTCCTAGAACATAGACATACATTCAGACGTCCCACAACAGTAGTATTTCTTGACCTTAAGGCGGCATTTGACTCCGTTGATAGTGAGGTTCTATGGCAATGTTTGTCAGTGAAAGGAGTACTAAAGAATTACATTAACCTCTTGAAGGCTCTCTACTCGAACACAACTGGTCGAGTTAGAGCCTATGGCGAACTGTCATCAGAATTGGTTACCTCAAGTGGTGTTCGTCAGGACTGTCCACTCTCGCCAGTCTTATTTAACTTTGTCATCGACATGCTTTTGGAGATATCACTTTCATCATCTCAATATCCTGGAGTTGAACTTTTATCAGAAGGCTCACTTGTTGACTTAGAATACGCCGACGACATAGTTTTATTCGGTGAAGACTGACAAAATGCAGAGTCTTCTGACCACTATAAGCAACAATGCAGGCATGTTCGGAATGCGATTCTCTCCCTCGAAGTGCAAAATGTTACTTCAGGATTGGGTTGCATCGACACCTGAACTAATGATAGGGAGTGAAATAGTTGAGCGTGTAGACCACTTCACTTATCTTGGGAGTCTCATCAGCCCTTGTGGTCTGGTATGTGACGAAATCTCAGCACGGATACAGAAGGTTCGTCTAGCTTTTGCCAACTTGCGTCATTTATGGCGTAGGCGAGATATCCGTCTAGCAACAAAAGGACGGGTTTACTGTGCAGCAGTCCGTTCCGTCCTACTTTATGGCAGTGAAACATGACCGGTAAGAGTAGAGGATATTCGTAGGCTACTAGTATTCAATCATAGATGTCTTCGAAACATTGCTCGTATATCCTGGGACCACCGGGTAAGTAATGCAGATATTAGGAAACGGGTACTAGGTAAGGATGACAAATCGATTGATTAAGTAGTGAAACTTCATCAGTTGAGATGGTTGGGACACGTGTTACGTATGCCCAACCATCGACTGCCCCGACGTGCAATGCTTTATGGTGTAGGAGCAGGTTGGAAGAAAGCTGGGGGCGGCCAGACCAAAACATGGCACAAATCCATGAAGTCACTGACAAGTGGACTGAGCGATGTTGGTAGCTGTGGACTACCTGGTTGGTATTCGCGTGATGATAGCAATCGATGGTTAGAGACCTTGAATGACATGGCTCAAAATCGTTTGCAATGGCGAAGGTGCATCCACTCTTTGTGTTCTACCAAATTCTAATCTGAATTCTTCATGTCTGTATCCTTTTTCTCTTTCTAAATTTATTTCATTGTATTATACTCCTTCAATAATATCTTCAAACCCTAATCTTTCCTATTACTGCCATGTTGGCAGATGCAGACTACCTGGTTGGGGTCCGCGTGACTATCGTAACCAATGGTTGGAGACTCTAGGTGACATGGCTCAGAATCGATCACAATGGCGTAGGTGTATACACTCTTTATCTTCCTTTAAACCTTGAGACTAAAATTGCTTCATATCTCTCCTCCTTCCTGTACTATATCCTTATATACAACCTATGATTTATATACTACTACCACCACTAAATTAATTACTTCTATGAACCCGGTGTTCATCTTGTTGTGCTAACGAGGTATGGCAACTTGGACCGATGCATAAATGTGCCTGGTCCTACGTTGTAGCTGACTGACTGACTGAATCTCATCTCATGGTAATCTAGTATGGCAATGTAGTCCAATACACGTTTCTTAGACCATATATTTGATAAGGATTAATTCCAAAAGAATTAGAATGGATATAACTATTGAATGGCTATGGCTGTTGTTAAGCTCATTTTTAAGTTATTAATATAAACCAGCACTTGTTTTGTCGGTTTGTTTAATATTTAAAAGTAGTCATTTAGCATCGTCTAATTCTCTAGTGCTGAGTATTTGTTCAATTTCACTTTATTTTCTTACCAGGTAATTTCAAAGTCCATGGCTAGTATGTTTGTTACAAGAGTGATTCCAAGAGTTCCCAAAGTCCCAATTCTTAGTAAGCTTGCATCGAAACTACTTTTTATTTACTTCATACTTTAGTGCCTTGTAGGTTTTCTCGGCAAAGACTACCACCTGAATACAGAAAGCAGTATTTAGAAAAAATAAGCAATGAGGCTCTAGATAAATATCGAAAATCGGACTTTGTTGCGTATCCTGCCCTAAAAACCCAAAGGTTATGGGAAGTCCAACCACAAGAACCAAAAAAGGAGACGAAGTATGTCATGTATTTTGTATCGGTTCTGTTAAATTCTTCAATAACAATATCAATTATCGGTCAGAAATCTTTTACGTCGACCATAGTATAGTCGTTAAGCTGTAAGTGCGCAATTCAATACTGCGACTATTGAACTACACTGGGTTGATAACAAAATTCCAATTCATTGAAAAATACCTGGCATTTATTTATATACCCCTCGAGCTATGTAAATAATGAACAACTCACTGACTTGTTCGAGGTAAAGACCGGTGTCAGGCAAGGTTACTTACTCTCACCCTTTCTCTTTCACCTGGTGATCGACTGGATCATGAAGACGTCAACATCCGAGGGAAAGCATGGAATACAGTGAACAGCTAAGATGCAGCTGAACGATTTAGACTTCGTAGATGATCTGGCTCTTCTATCACACACGCAACAACAAATGCAGGAGAAGACGACCAATGTAACAACAGCCTCAACAGCAGTAGGTCTCAATATACACAAAGGGAAGAGCAAGATTCTGCGATACAACACAGTATGCGCCAATCAAATTACACTTGACGGAGAAGCCTTGGAGGATGTGAAAACCTTTACATATCTGGGCAGTATCATCCATGAATACGGTGGATCTGATGCAGATGTGGAGACGCGAATCGGCAAAGCAAGAGCAGCATATTTAAAACTGAACAACATCTGGAACTCAAGACAATCGTCAACCAACACCAAGATCAGACTTTCCAATACAAATGTCAAGACGATTCTACTGTATGGGGCGGAAACTTGGAGAACTACGAAAGCCATTATCCAGAAGATACAAGTGTTTATTAACAGTTGTCTACGCAAAATACTTCGGATCCGTTGGCCAGACACTACCAACAACAGCCTACTGTGGAAGAGAACAAACCATATTGCAATGGAGGAAGAAATCAGGAAAAATCGCTGGAAGTGAATAGAACACATTGTGAGAAGCACCCAACTGCTTCACGAGGCAAGCCCTCACATAGAATCCTGAAGGCCAAAGGAGAAGAGGAAGACCGAGGAACACATGACGCCGGGAAATTGAGACAGATATGAGAAGAATGAAAAAAAGTTGGATAGAACTAGAAAGGAAGGCCCAGAACAGAATGGGTTTGGAGAATGCTGATTGGCATCCTATGCTCCACTGGGAGTAATGGGCGTAAGTAAGTACGTGCAATATGGTATGTGCTTTGGACCTTCTAAGTGCAAAGTACTTTTACAAAACTGGCAGGACCCTTATCCTGCACCCATTATGGGTAATGAGGAGATAGAAGTAGTCGAAAAGTTCGTGGGGTACGGAAGTTCTAACCTAAGTTGATTGTTCTGCTAATTAGTTTGTATACCACGTAGCAGTAGTTTTTATCGTGCTACACGGTTGTGAAGCATGATTATTGAAAATGGTCAGCTCTACTAATATTCGAAAGCATGATCATCAAAACAGTTTTAGTTTGTAACTAGGATAACCAGTAGTAAATGTTGATTTTGGACTTAGAGCTCAAGGTAATTTAACCAATCTGATTGTTAATCTCTAAATGACAGAAATTTGTATCCTAAGTATGTATACCGAGTTCCCCCAAAATTGATGGCTATGATAACAAATCAATAGAAATAAGGGTATTGAGATCAGAAAATTGTATTGCCCAACTTATAAGTAATTTGGTGAACAAGAATTAAGCTTGATTTTGAATGACTTACAAAATTCATATCCCCCAATCACTCATGTTCAGCAGATGACTAGTCATGTTTATTTTCCTGTCTATATATTCTGTAAGTAAACATGCTATTTCACTTGAGAAAAAAAGTTGACTCTTTTAACTTATCGTACTGTCTCTTGGTGTCAGTTCAGTTAGGACTTCTTGAGTATTTGCCTGTTCTCTACACTGTGATAGTGCGAATCATCCGTGCATCAGCGTTTTATTGTATAATCTGAAAAGCCAAAATATGCTGACTTGATAATACCCAAAGCTGTACTTCATAAAAAGTAGTTGATTTGGCTTCAAAATTGTTGGAGAGTATAAACTTATTGTTGCTTGCTCAAAATATTAAAGCCCAGTAATTAAATACCCTATGTGATACTGTTCGAAATCTATAAAATTGTCTCAAATGGATTTAATCTCCATCCTTCTTTGAGCGAATCATTTCGTATGTATCTCTCGTCTATTCACCATATCATTGTTTTCGTTGACTTGAACATTTTACTTTAACCAAAGTCATCACCTCGATTCATCAAGACCTATGGTCATTTTGGGCTCTGTGTATAGAAATTTCTTTTTATTAAATAGTACCTGGCTTGAATAATTTTGCCTTCTCAATTTGCACTTAAATTAGCATGCTCTAGTTTTTCAGCATTTTTCAAACTAACCAATGGTTTTAATGATTGGTGCATGCTCACCTCTACTGTTTTATTTTATATTTGAGGCTACATTGTTGTTCAGTTACAATAGTTTCATTTCCTCACATTTGTTTAGACGTCTGTATCAAGAACTCGTACCACATTTTATTGACCCAAGATACCGCGATCGTCTACGTGAACGTCTTGAGCGTCATGAAATGATGCTACGTCGTCGAAATTTAGATATACCAGAGTTTTATGTAGGTATGTTTGCTTGTTTTTTTGTCAAGGATCCGATCATGTTATAGTTAATAGGACTTGATAAATTGCATAAATATACTTAGAAGTAACGTCTATAAAAGAATGAATGAAAAGCAACGTCCTTTTTTACTCAGTACAGAGATAAGAACTCAATCTTAACCACAACGCTTACTAGATCTGTCAAAGATAACTGTTCAGATTTACTGTAGCAACTATCCTACAGTCGATTTCGATTATGGTTAATTTTGGTTAAGCCCTCTTATTAGCCTACTTAACAGAAAATAATAATAATAACTTCGCATATTTCTTTGTACCGTTATGATCACTAGAGCACATGACAAACTCTAGCTAAAATGTCGATCGCTCTATATATATATACTCAAATCCTGTTATTGGCTTCTGCTTTGCCTTGCTGCTCTCATATACTTATGCTAGACCTTAGCTGCTACCTTGGCGTAGTGGTCGGGCTTGCCTACCGTGACGACCCAACCGAACTATATTGGCTGGAACATATGTTCCTGTAGGTCCTACCATGCCAGGCAGGTCGATTGGAGGACTGTAAAACTAAAAGCAGCAACTCAAGTTCTGAGGGTAAAGCCGTACTGCTAACTGTAGAGGGGTGTGACAGCAGTAAAGTGTTTCCCTCTGACAACCAGCATCTGCAGCGGTGCTGCCTTCTCACAAGGAAGGAAGAAGTTAGAAAAGGTCAACCCTAAAAATGCCACGCCTCACCTTAACTCATGGATTTTCGTCTCCGGCGGTAAGGCCCTTTGAAGAATGGAGCTAACACGTCAAAAACCTCCCACAAAAAGACCGTGCGCGACCGGCCTCAAGCAGTTGTCCCTTGGTCACTGCGGTCACGCTCCCAGGTTGTTAAGACCAGCAGTAATCCAACTTCCTTTTCAGGTTCCTCAAGAAATACCCTTCCACGGTGTGGGCAGCCGGGGAGTGATATTAGCCCTCATACCCGTAACAGCACACGAGACCAAGTTGGTCACATTCAAATTCTTCCTACATCTCCTAATAACTCTCTTATCTCCACGACTAACCCTTCTCGCGTCCCTTTATCACCTAGAACCGCTAGGACAAAAGATTCAAGTAGGCGGAACTAGTTACTTCAGGATTGGGTTGCATCGACACCTGATACAGAAGGCTCGTCTAGCTTTTGCCAACTTGCGTCATTTATGGCGTAGGCGAGATATCCGTCTAGCAACAAAAGGACGGGTTTACTGTGCAGCAGTCCGTTCCGTCCTACTTTATGGCAGTGAAACATGACCGGTAAGAGTAGAGGATATTCGTAGGCTACTAGTATTCAATCATAGATGTCTTCGAAACATTGCTCGTATATCCTGGGACCACCGGGTAAGTAATGCAGATATTAGGAAACGGGTACTAGGTAAGGATGACAAATCGATTGATTAAGTAGTGAAACTTCATCAGTTGAGATGGTTGGGACACGTGTTACGTATGCCCAACCATCGACTGCCCCGACGTGCAATGCTTTATGGTGTAGGAGCAGGTTGGAAGAAAGCTGGGGGCGGCCAGACCAAAACATGGCACAAATCCATGAAGTCACTGACAAGTGGACTGAGCGATGTTGGTAGCTGTGGACTACCTGGTTGGTATTCGCGTGATGATAGCAATCGATGGTTAGAGACCTTGAATGACATGGCTCAAAATCGTTTGCAATGGCGAAGGTGCATCCACTCTTTGTGTTCTACCAAATTCTAATCTGAATTCTTCATGTCTGTATCCTTTTTCTCTTTCTAAATTTATTTCATTGTATTATACTCCTTCAATAATATCTTCAAACCCTAATCTTTCGAATTACTGCTTATACCCTTACTACATCTACCACTATGGGATTTGAATCGACAACTGCATCTCTGTGGTAATGTGGTATGGCAACTCGAACTGATGTACGTACGTACGAAGTTCTATGTTGTGACTGACTGATATGCTTATTCGCCTCTCTGCATCAGATTCGTTTGATGTGCTTATAACTTTGTGGTCTGCGTTATCCGATAATAAACTGCAGTTGCCGCTTTTTTTTGCCTTCTGATTTCAAACACCATTGCGATTTATATTATAACGGTTACTGTGGTGATTGATTAATGAAGCAAAGCCACTTCACTACATTTATTGTGTATAATTTTTTAATGACCGACTTCAAGAATAGGACAGCAACTAGCTTTATCGGAATATTAACAAGAAGAAACTGTTTTAGCAAACGTTCAGCGTAGATAGCCAGAAAACAATAAAATATGATTAATATGACATTGATTATAAAGTACTGAACTCTTAAAGTCGTTTCCGTGAGCCAAAATATTTCTAACGGTAAATTTCATATATTCATGCGGCAATTCCAAACTAAACTAAAAGTAAATATTAAAGGGATTCCTATATTGCTGGTACTTAAGCCGAGCTAATACAGTATGTAATCTACCGACTTTTTGATAAACCAGATACAAATTTTGTTTGATCCTATAGTTTTCTAGGCAATGTTATCAATTATTCACGTTATTATTTAGTTACTATGCCATGTATTTATATCAAGCACCTCTGTAAATAGAAAAAGATGTGTTTTAGATTTGGTGAATTTCAATGATTTTGTACTAATAATGTAATTTAAATGTTTTATGAAGAGTATACTTACACACCTGTCTCCATATTAATCCGGATAATTGTCTCAACCTCTCGGCTGGATCCCTGTACCACTCAATCACCGTTTCTAGTGTCGGATTAATCCAACCTGTTTTGTCATCGGTAGTTTAAGGATGAACCTAACCCTTTCGCTTAAGAATCATTTATACAACGCCATCCTGACGAGTTTCTTAATATACAATATTCTGATTTGCCAGTATGGGAGCCATACTAAGAAGTCTCATATTCTCAACGTCTTTATTAGCATCTATTATTTTCGTAGTTCATTGACCTATAGGTTTGTAGCTCAGAAGTTTGATCTCTTTATTTTCAATCATTAAGTTATAGATTTGAGCTTTGATTCATTTAAAATATTTTGGGTGACTGGTTTTATCACTAAAACACACAGCAAACCTACTGGATTGCCTTTTACATAAATTTGTGTTTTGTAGATGTGTTGATTTTTAATTGTCTCAGTAAATTATTCTAGAAAGATAATTATGAATTTTTAAATAATGCGGAATTTCAAAATAGGTTTTGTTGTAGGGACTGTTCTTATTTACTAGCGTTTTAAATAAATCAACATTGTTCGTAATTGTCATTATATCTTATGTTTCATACAAAACACATTCATAATTTTTAGTCCTGTTGACCTGTATCAGATAATTGTAAAATCGTTAGTTTTCAATGTGCCAGACTGTGAGCGTACGTTTAAAATTGATTGGTCTTGGTACTTAAAATATTGACGAGTTTCCCTACGTGTAAGATTTAGTTAAGGTTCACGTTGATGGATTTTGATGTGTTTATACAATGATTAGACTCGTTTACGACCTACTAATTTATCTGTTAACCACAACAGCAAGGTTACAAATAAACTAATAGGACTGTTGAGTTGGGAAACTGTGATTTTTGTGGTTAATCAACTTTCCATTTTGAGTGATGAAAATATAACATTAATTAATGAATCAAAACCAATATAAAAATATGGCTACAAAACAATAATATAATCATATACATTAAAACAAAGTTTGTCTAAACTGTACGAAATAATTCATCAGTACTAGCTTATTCAACTTACACTTTGACTTATTTCTTGACTTTCCAGCTTTTTACATAATTTCAATTCTTTATAATGTTCAATTTTAGCATTTTCTTAATATATGTTGTTTTTTTAGGGTCAGTTGTTGCCGTAAGGACTGCTGATAAATTTGCGCCAAACCAATCACATCGATTCATGGGTATTTGTATAGAACGCTTTAATGAAGGTTTGTGGACGAAATTTACTCTTCGTAACGTGATTGAGAAAACAGGTTTGTTCTTATTTAAAACGGATCCTTTATTTGTATTCCTCATAGTTGGTTTGTAACAATGGGCATGTAGATAGCTACACTCTCTCACTCAATTAAAAAAAATACCTTCATTGCCTTCACGCGATCACACATCTTATACTCTGTGAGTAACTCATCTCGTGTGTTTTTCTCGTCTTATATTTTAATAATGGATACATCACAGCAAAAAATAATGCTACAACCTTTCTGATCCAGTGACTAAAAAAATTAATTCATATAGCTGTTATTCAGAAAAGACATTTTGGTCAATAATGTATGCTCTTACATTATTATAATCAGTACTTATTAACAATTGGTTTTGTTTTCCCTTAATAATTCTAGCTATGTCACATATTTAACAAATCTGATTACTTTCAATGAATCCTATTCGTTCGTACACATTAAAATATTATACTCTCTTTTAACTAACAATCAAACCACTTTCTCATTATCTACTATTTTAGCTGTTGAAATTCAGTATGAATTATATAATCCAACTATTCAGTCAATCGAAGTATTATTACTAGAGAAACGTCTAGATCGTAACCTTTTGTATTTACGTGATGCTCCATTGGATGAAAGTCGATTTCCATTTGATATGTCACGTATTCCGTATAATCCTTCTGATCCTGTCCCAATTAATGATAAGAAAGTATGTTTCTATCATAACAATATCAAAAAACCTTATTCATTAGTGGTCATATCTTGTTACTTAAGTTATTTGCTTGTTGCAGTAGTTGTTCGTTTTAAGAAAACATGTTAGATATTATACTCAACCTTTATGAATGGTAAATGCGACAGTAATATATGTTTGTTACCATTTCATCATAAAAAATTAGGAACTACTTAATTTTACCAATAGTTTTGGTGGACATTCATTTGATTCTTTTAATCATAGCAACTTTCTCTTTTCTGTTTGATATTATTATATGAACTGAACTCGATTTGCAATGAAACTAAAAACTAAACGTTATACCCACTGTTTTTCTATATATATTGACTGATTTTGAACAGGATATCAATCTAAATTATTTCGTTTTGAGCAATATGTTATATTGGAGAAATATTAAGAAAGCTGTTTATTGTCGTGCGATCAATTATCAGAATATATGTGGAATGTCTAACTGACGATTACTCACCAAAATAAAATTACAGATACAAGTTTCCTATAGGTGAACTGATGCCAAAAGACAAAAAAAACTGACCAGTAAAATATGTTTTTTTCACGCCTCAAGATAAAAGGCTTTTATACAAAGTTTGCAAGCGGAAGTCACATTATGAAATTTGCAAGCAATATAACCTGTTGTCATACATTGATATCTAAAAGTCACTTTACATCCAGTAGATTTAATAATTCTAATATCAGTTATTCATGTTTCCATTATGATATTTTTGATCAATAAATGATATAAATCAAGGATAAATATCGCTTTATCACTTAATTTCAGAGTATTTAGCAAATCAAAGTTCCATTTTTACCGCCCACGTTCAAATAGAAGATCTAAAAGTTTTTCATCTTACAGAGTTATTTATTATTACTTTTATATGAACATTTTCGTATATCCATATATGAATTTAGTTATTTTCTGAATCTTTTGACATTTTACTGTTACATTCAAATATCGTTCCACTTTACAGGGGATTCATTTTTTAATGATGTTAGACTTTTTCAAGTAGAACATTATTAATAATATATTTATTCTTAGGATCCTTAATTGTTCCACTTGTATCAACGAAGTTTGGTTGATTTCTTCAAAGCATTACTCGTGTATTTTGTGACTACTGGTTTATGAATAGGGTACTAAGTAGAGATGGCAAATCGATTGACGAGGTCAGTCAGTCAGCTACAACGTAGGACCAGGCACACATTGATGAGGTAGTAAATTTCTATCAGTTGATGTGCTTGGGATATGTGTTACGTATGCCCGTCCACCGCCTACATCAAGTGTTGTCACATGTAGGAGTAAGTTCAAAGAAAGCTGTGGGGGGGGGGCGAACAAACAAAGATATGGCGTCGGTCCGTAAAGTTGTTGACTGTTATTTTGAACCATGTTAGCAGGTGTAGACTACCTGGTTGGTGTCAGTGCAATGGTCGCAAGAGGTGATTAAAGACATCGTGTGTTATGGCTTATAATCTATCTCAGAGGTATGAATGAATCCACTCTGTCTTGCGTTAGATCCTGGGTCTCAAAATCTTATACTGTTTTTCTTCCTTTATGGCTGATCCTGTTACTCCTAGTACTCTAGAATTTAGCTTGATAATTTTATCTCACTGTCTTAATATAATGTGGAAACTTGAACCAATGTACACGCGTGCCAGGTTCTACGTTGTATACGACTAACTGTATTTTTATTATATATCTCCTTTTGTTAGTAACTAATTGATATACATTTATCTCAACCACGGTCACGTATTCTGCCTTGCTAATGTAATTTTGAAACACTATGAAACGTTATCTACAGTCAAAACGTAGATCTACTATACTAAACATTAAATTGGTTTTTATGTCCCACTTAACAAGTTTTTCTATATTTACTATAGAAATGTAATGGTATTAGTTTATAAACCAAATTTGTTGACTGCTGATAGTTATCATACTAATGTCATCCTTATTTAAGTTAAAGCTGTGCCTATTGTGCCAATTCTTATGTTTTAAAATCTGTGTAACTGATATTTTATTTACTATAGGTAAAACTACTTCCGCCACCATGGGCCTTCAAATGGTATCTACATGGTTACCGTGGAATACATGACAGCATGTTTGATTATTTAACTCCACAACAGTTATCTGAAATTCAAGACAAAATAAATCTTGTCGATCGATATGATTTGATGAAAATGTATAGGTAAGGTTTTACTAATTTTAGTCCTCTATTATTAAGTTTATATTTATGTGCTAGTATATGCCACCCCTCTTCTTGTGCACACTATTAGTTACTCATCACAAAGAACAGAGAACATATAACTTTGGTGCGATAGTCTTCATACTTCAGTCAGTCAGAAACAATGTAGAACCTAGCATAAATGTTTTATATTAGTCCACATTACTACATATCACATAGATGCAATGAAAGGGCGAATTAACAAGGTGAGAGCGAAGGAGTTGAGACAGTAAAATTGATCTTAGTAGACAATTAAACATGAATCGTTTCGAAAAATTGTCTTCCAGAAGTGTAAAATGTAGGATATTCTTTGAAGGGCAGTTCAACTGGTCTGCTGCTCCGGCAACATCAACCAGATTATCCTGCCCTCCATGGCCGGTGACGACTGATCCACCAAACGAGGCGGAAGTTCGCAAGGAACTCCAACTCTTGAAACGCTACAAATCACCGGGCCCAGATGACTTACATTCAGCTCTTTCTAAAGATGGTGGTGACTTTCTGGTTAAGGAACTAACTGTGTTGTTTACAAAGGTTTGGCAGTTAGAGAGTGTTCCAACATCGTGTAATCGGTCGATAATTATCCCTATCTTTAAAAAGGGTTCATTTCGTTCCTGTAACAACTACCGGGGGATAAGTCTACTTCCGATTGTGTCCAAACTATTGACTTCCGTAATAATTCGTAGATTGTTCAAAACTCGAGATAGACTGACCCTCGAGGAGTAGGCTATTTTTCGTTCTGGTCGAGGATGCATTGATCATATCTTCACACCGTCATACTTATCGCAGGCCAACAATCGTGGCGTTTCTTGATATCAGGGCTACCTTGGACAGAACTGTTCTCTGGGATTGTTTGTTGAAGAAGGGTGTGCCTGAGAAGTTTATTAACATTTTAAAGGCCCTGTGTATAAGTATCTTAGGCGGAGTTAGGGAATACAGCCACCTCTCCCCACTGTTCCACTCAAGCAGTGGCGTTAGACTGGGTTGCTCAATCTCACCATTCCTCTTCAACTTCGCTATCGATGACGTTCTGGAAACAGCCCTGATGGATGCAGGTAATGATGGTGTGGATCTGTTTCCTGGAGAAAGACTACTCGACATTGAGTACGCGGATGATATTGTCTTACTGTGCAATAATGCCCAAGGCATGCAATCCGCACTTAATCAGTTGGCATTCAGTGTCCGCAGGCACGGTATGTGCTTTGCACCCTCCAAGTGCAAAATACTCCTACAAGACTGGCAGGATTCTATTCCTGTATTCACCTTGGGTGGTTAGCAGATTGAAGTAGTTGAGAAGTTCGTGTATCTAGGTAGCTGCATAAGTGCTGGTGGTGGCGTGAGTGATGAGATTGATGCACGTATGGTGAAAGCCAGAGCGGCTTATGCCAATCTGGACCATCTTTGGCACCTTCGTGATGTCAGTCTGGCTGTAAAAGGTCGAATCTACAACGCATCGGTAAGAGTAGTTTTGCTCTGTGCTTGTGAAACCTGGCCTCTCCGAGTTGAGGATGTTAGACGACTCTCTGTGTTTGATTATAGTTGTCTCCGAAGGATTGCTGAAATCCAGTGGCAACACCATGTTAGTAATGCAGAGGTTCGGCATCGTGTGTTGGGGCGCAGAGACGACAATCCAATCCGTATCACCATCTTGAAACACCGACTTCGGTGGCTTGGACATGTTTTGCGAATGTCGTCCCAGAGAATTCCACGTCGCGCACTATTTGTCGACGCTGGGACCTGTTGGAAAAAGCGGAGAGGAAGTCAATGTATGGCATGATGTCGTGGTATGAAAGAAAGCTACAAAGGGCTGGCTTCTGTTGGTCCTTCACGAATCCCTGGTTTGGGTGCGAGAGATGGTGCAACACAGTGGCTAGAGACGTTATCAGATATGGCTCAGAATATAAGCCAGTAGCGATTCTGCTGTAACCTTCTTTTACTTTATTCATAAAAAGTGGTTATAACATCCTTAAGTGAGAGAGTTCTTCTGGTTGTACATTCAGTTTCTCCCATCATTACTCTTATTTTTTTATATATGCATCTTACCTCTTTTTTCCCATTCTCATTGTTTTGTTTGGCGCATATATATCTGGTGCCCCCTTGTACCAATATTTATGTGTTTAAATAAATAACCCTAAGTTCGCGATTTGGAAAGCGATAGGTAATTTGTGGAATTACACCACAAAAAGTGACACTTCACAGTCATCTATTAGGTTAAACACTTGAGTTAGTTTTGCTTGCCTCGGTTCGGATAACTCGGTAGTTTTTCTGTTAAAAAAAGTAATGGCATCGTCATCTGCTTCTCACTGTAACTTAAAACCACTAACTAAGTTCCTTTATGAACTTAGTCAATGAACCAGTCAATGTCAAACCATAATTGAAAACTTTTAAACAATGGATGGCCGTTTCGTCCTAGTATGAGACCCCACATCAGTGCACATCCACGACTCCGGGTGTGGGACTCAAACCAAGGACCTTCATTCTCTCACGCGAACGCTCAATTTCTGGACCACTGAGTCGGAATCTGAAGGTTCTAATGTCTAACCTCAAACCACCCACAGACGTTAAAATATGATCACGCAATGTCATGGATTAATTGAGGTTAGGACATTAGCACTTCTGGGTCCTTGCTTAGTATACAGTCTAAACATTCGCGAGACCGAAGGACGTGGGTTCGAGTCTCACGCCCGAAGTCGTGGATGTGCACTGTCGAAGAGTTTTGTAGTAGGACGAAACAACCATCTAGTGTTTCCGTATTTTCCATGGTGGTCTGACATTGGTTGGTTCATGACCTCAGAGATACTCAACAATTTCACAACCCTCTACTGATAAGTTATATTTATTTACCAAGTATAGGCTTATGTACTCGACTTTGAGCCACGTTGTTTTTGGGGAGGATTATGTATGCCATTCGAGTCCCTAGGTCGATTTTGACGTCTGTAACCTTTAAGAAGTTTGAACCTGCATTCTCTAACTGATGAGACACCTCTCAACAATGTAGATTTTTGTGTCAATCCATAATTAAATTCTCCATTAATATCAAAAATATAATTTAAATAAGGGATTTCATGGAAACGTTTACACCATTTCTATAAATCCGTGTGAAATCTTCTGTAAAGTAATTCAGAATTTCAAAATTCGTGTCGTGATTGTAAACAATCTTTAGAACTTAGAATAATTGGATTGTGTCTAGCAGTATGATTAAGGATGGTTGTTTCGACTTATTTGTGACTGTTCAAGAGCATAACATCAACAACAGAATAATTCAGACTTATACTAAAAAGTGTAGACGTATTCAGTAAACAAGTTAATATATATATGGACTCAGTAGCTCAGTGTATAATACACTGGCGTTTGGAACGAAATTTCGTTGTCAGTGTAAGCACTAATCTTATGGTGGAAGTGGATCCATCCAATGAGTCCGAAATAAGATGAACTGTGCACCTCATATCCCACTGCTACCATCTCTCCATCTTTTCTAGAAACTTGTGATATCATGGCTGTACAAATCGAACCCACTCAGGACGAACATATGCCGACATAAAGTGATCGTAATTCAGTCTGAAATATCGATGACTAGATATTTTGAAACCTTCCTGTCACTATTTTATTTTAGTGTATCCCCGCGTGGGTTCGAACCCCACTCCCAGCAGGCGGATGCCCCCAAATGCCCTGGTACGGCCGAGAGTGAGGAGAGTCCGCTCTCGAAATGCTCTCACATGGTCGCGCGCATATAGCCCCTTCCAGGGAAGCCCTACTCACTGCCTTCTCGTGGCGGGGGTGTTGTTTACGAAAGTGAGAGGACGGAAAGCGAATGTCCGGCGCTATAACCGGGTTGGTGGATATGAAGGATCTACCTAGGGGAGTTGGAAAACCCTGTTTCTAAACCAATGGTGCACATTGGCTCCCGTATCCTGAAGGAAAAAATGGCGAATGAACCAGTTATTGGTCACCGGCTACCATGGGACTGCATCTCCTCACGATGCTCCACTGCCTTGTGGGTTAGACCTCTAGGTCAAAGGCTCGGAGTGTGGTCCCCTAAGAAAACCACGTGCTTCGGTTTGGGCACCCGTAATGTATCACAGCCCTCTCGCAAATAAATGAAATGAAACATTCAACTGACAATTTTATTCTCGTTCATACTAGAAACAAATCAATTTGCATTATTACTATTATTATTATTGTTATTATTTACCATATCGCTATTTCACCCCCTTTTATCCCCAATTTGTGTAACCTTACTTTTCAACTTATGCAGCAGCTCGCTTTTGGTGGAAAATCTGTCCTATCTAAACGATCTCCAGTCACTGTCTGGTTGAAAGTGAATGCTTCCACCGATTATGAACACTGAAGCAGTCTTTCTGAAACCACGTACACTGTCGTGGCATGAAAGAAAGCTGCAAAGGGCTGGCTTCTGTTGGTCCTTCACGACTCCCTGGCTGGGGTCCGAGAGATGGTACAACACAGTGGCTAGAAACGTTATCAGATATGGCTCAGAATATAAGCCAGTGGCGATCCTGCTGTAACCTTCTACTTTCTCCATAAAGTGGTTATAACTTTCCTAACTGAGAGAGTTCTTCTGGTTGTATATTTCAGTTTCTCCCATCATTACTCTTCTTTTTTTCCTTCCTTTATATATACGCATCTTCTTCCTTCTCCTCCCATTCTCATTATTTTGTGTGGCGCATATGTATCCGGTGCCCTTTGTACCAATATATATGTTATTAAATAAATAAAAAAATAAAATCCTGTCACCAACAATAATATAGTCCTTAGAACACTATTAACCTGAAAGTAATAATACAAAATCAAAACACGGATTCTTACATCCTCGATGTATCATAGAGATTGGGAATTAATTAAATAACGTAGACGATATATTTCTCTCACAATGAGAGAAGATAATTTTGTTTCATTTTTGTTGATACATCAACTGGTTAATTTTTCCTTTCTTCCCTAGGCTACGAAATGATGATTGATAGTTCCACATTTTTTTTTCAAACAATTAGTCCCTTTATAAGAACTCTCGTCTAAATTAGAACGAATAGTTTCACAGTATTTGAGCGCCGAGTTGAAGTAAGACATTAAATAGGAATAATATATTTGCAAAATCTCAGCGAATGAATTTTTTAAATTAAATCCAACGTTTCGCCTGGCAATCTGGTCCAAGCTTTTTCAAGGAATTATAATCAAACATCAAAATTATCGAATATAAATAGGTACATGGTTCTCCGAGTTCATTATACACTGAATCATCCAATCAACGTTAACAAACTCTAAACTAGGTATATTTAAGAGATATGTGATGTGTAGTGAAGAGTGTTCATATAACATATTTGATAAATTTCGATAATGCAATGAGAAGATGAAGTTTATCAGAATTATGTGATATATTAGCGCAATACATTTCGAACAATCTGATCACACACATAGTTGTTAAGACATTTTTATATGAAAGTTAAATGGTCAACTAGACAGGTTCAGGTAAGAAAATAAATAAAGTACAATGTGATGACTACTCTGGATAATAAATCAGCATTACCAGGATAGGTTAAGGCTAAGAACAAATTGTTTTTGAACACATAAAGGGGTTTCAATTTCCGTATAGCCAAGGCTTCAATAAACCTTAGTATACGTCCTTGAAGGCCTTTGTACAACACTACAAACGCTGATTTGATGTCAACCTTATGACCAGTTTCAACCAAATGTCACATCCCATTGTGTATACCAATTTATATGTATGTGCGGAAACACGTACATAGGAAGGAGCAATCGTGATCTGCAAATAAGGGTGGCGGAACACATACCTAAATGGCTGAAGAACCAAATGAATTCCAATGGTCAAATAAGATCACAGGATAGACAAACATCTTCCTCTATTGAGAAACATTTAGTTGAAACTGGTCATAAGGTTGACATCAAATCAGCATTTGTAGTGTTGTACGAAAGCCTTCAAGGACGTATACTAAAGTTTATTGAAGCCTTGGCTATACGGAAATTGAAACCCCCTTTATGTGTTCAAAAACAATTTGTTCTTAGCCTTAACCTATCCTGGTAATGCTGATTTATTATCCAGAGTAGTCATCACATTGTACTTTATTTATTTTCTTACTTTAACCTGTCTAGTTGACCATTTAATTTTCATATAAAAATGTCTTAACAACTATGTGTGTGATCAGATTGTTCGAAATGTATTGCGCTAATATATCACATAATTCTGATAAACTTCGTCTTCATATCGCATTATCGAAGTTCCACATTTAGAAATCTTTCGCCGCTTACCTTTATCACTGTCCATGTTAAAAACCCTTACTATCTTTCACTCTTAGTGGCGACAAACAAACTTAATGCAAATTCAATTCAAATTTCTAGTTGTGTTGTTTAGACCACATACTACTATTATGAACACATCACTAATCAGCTAAATATTATTTGAGAACTATATATCTGGATGTCACGACTGAACGACGTCGATTGCAGGTCCATTGTTTAGAAAGCATTCACAGTCATCTCAATAATGTCATCGATACTGAAGATTAGGTTTTAGGTGGTAACTCTCTAGTAACAGTCTTTGAACTGTTAGTCTGAATTTAACAACGTTAAGAAATAAATTTATTATATTCACCATTTTGCAATAGTTGTCCAGCATTTTACTCACAGTGATTTTAAAAAAGATATCTTGTCTTATCAATAGGAATGGGGTTTACAATAATGTACAGAATACATATTACACATTAACATTTTCTTACCAATTGTTTACGGTTCTGATAATGCTTTCTCAATGAGGTAAATTACTAAATACTGATAGTTGCATCCTGTCTAATCAATCAGTAAATTAAAATCAACATGAAAATGACAAAACAGTGCTTCGGCTCACATTGTCGTAGTAAATCAGTACAACAAGATGAATAACAAAGTAGTTGAAGTAATAGTCTTCTCTCATTTTTCTCTCACAATAGTTTTATTAAACAAAGTGTACTAAGAAACTCTAATAAGTACTTATCTAAGTAATAGTGTTCAAAGAGTTTGATTTAGTTAACTCTACGAAATACATTAAGGTTATTTCCTTTATCAAGTAAATATATATTGTTTAGTGCATGTTTTGACTTTTTTGGACATTACAGATCACGATTGTGCTTAGAAGAAGAACGAATAGCTTTAGGTGATGTTCAAATTCAACATCAGGATCTTATACGTCATCATGAACAACGTCGACAAGAGTTAATCGACAAACACAAAGAAACCCGAAGGACTGATAAAACTACTGCTCATGGTGGTCGTTAATATATTTTCCACTATTGCTGTGAGACTGCAACATTTTCCTCTGACGTTTCCTTTTGTTGAGTTGTAAATATATGTACTGTCACTTAAATAAACTTTTACAGTAAAACTGATTGAAATTCCCTTTACATTTAACATACTTGGTCCATGATAATCCCGACATTAGATATATACGTGTTTAGTCTTTTCAATTGATTGACTACTGGTTAGTGACCAGTACCATGTTTGCCAGGTCCTTCTTAGTGCATGTCGGATTTTGTCGACCAAGTTGCTATATGGCTACTAGTCTAGGTAACTTGACATCGCGTGCACTATGTTGAGATGAGGTGTTGGTCAAAGGTACTCGGCAGGAAACCTTTGATCTAGGTCTTGTGTTGTTTTTACTCATCAGCAAGGTGTACCTGTAATCTTGAGGTGACTGGTGGAGTTGACCCCGTGTCACTTGATCGGTAGAGTCCGATCTGCACTAAGAAGGACCTGACACGTCATTAGTCACTAAACAGTGATCAATCAATTGTAAATACATATCGGCCGTGCAGGAAATCAGTTGAGAAGAAGGGAGGAGAGCCACTCGCTGAGATTCAAGAGTAGCGGTGCAGGTAAGCAGAGAACGTTTGGATAAAGAAACCAAGGTGGGCCTTTCGGACATCAGAACAACACATACGAACCTTCCTATAGCCGTTACCGCACCAACAATGGGGGAAATCAACATGGGTATCAGACAAAATGATAGTGAGAGAGCAGCTGAACAAGATGGGACATTTAATTCCGATATAGAGGTGAATGTAAACGTGCTCCACATTTCCTTCGTAAATATTTGGGAGGAGGAACAAGTAACAACAAAATGGAAAGAAAGAAACCAAAGAAATGAGATCTCAACAAATGTGAGAATTACATGGACACCACTGTCAGCACCAGGAAAAGTCTTCAACAGAATGTTGCTGAACCGGACAAAAGATTCAGTTGACGCCCAACTTCCAGATCAACAGGATGGGTTCCGTAAGTAATGATCGTGCTCAGATCAAATTGTGACACTGCGGATCATCACTGAACGATCAATCGAATAGGACTCATCAATATACATCAAATTCCTTGATTATGAGAAAGCGTTCGACACTGTGGATAGGAGAACATTATGGAACCTTCTTCGACACTATTGAGTTAGTAGCTGAGGAAATCGTCAACATCATCCGCAATTCATACGACGGACTACACCGCAAAGTTGTGCATGGCGAACAGTTGACAGACGTATTCCAATTGAAAACCGGTGTCAAGTAAAATTGCTTACTCTGGCGATTCCTCTTTGTTGTGTCAGTTAACTGAATTGTGAAGACTTCTAGACTTCAGAGACATATCGTTTGTACAAAACATTACTTTTGAGGCGTCTATCACTAAAAATTGAACACTGCAGGAACAAAAATAAGTGTTGATGCAACTTAAGATTTCGATACAGTCTGTGTTGTGTCCCGTGTAGTCGACAATATACTAAATGACACGAATTCCGATTTCGAAAAGTTAGATGCTGACAATTTGCCAGATGAATACTTACTTAGGGGTTGGTGAGTCTTCCAATTAAAGTAGTGATATTGGTGTATGGTACCAGGAGGTAACCAGCATCAGTCCAGGAACTTAAAAGCTTCAGGACTTTCTAAAACGTGTATTCCTACGGATACTTGAACCTCTTTGTCTCGTATAATAGTTCGCGGCAACTCAGCTGCAAACCACAAAAATGCAGTAACTTGCACACAACCCGAATTAAGGTTAGTGTATGAAGTAAATTGTTTGTTGATCGAAGTAGGTTTTAAGATGGACGTTACTATAGTAAGGACCCACATGTGATGCTTACACACGAAACTGGCAACCAGCCAAAATGAGACAAGAATTATTATTTACACAATCATAATCCATGAGGGATGGGGTGTTTCGTTTTCTGTTGTTTACGCTGACTTACGTGAAAAATTCAAAGTTTCCTACGACAAAATACGATTCCATCATGCTACGGGCGTGTCAAGTGTAGAGAGTCATTCATGAATTCCACAAAAAGTGCGGTACACTACTCTTTTCACATTTCACGAGAAAAAAGTACGAAGCCATCACTTCAGCTATAACATGAATGTGCACTCTTGGAATTGATATGTGTAATTAACAGATGTGATTCATAGAAGTTTGATTCGGCTACATGACATTCAAATAGGATATATGCATTTACTTCATACACATCAGGATAATTCTGAATTAGACAAAAACTTTCTGCCTGTGCAAATTTTACATCTGGAAAACTGGCTCTCTTACTGTTTCGGACAAGCTCTCTATGTCTTCTGTTTCATCATGCCACTGGCTGAGTATTCTACTCGACATGCATAGGCTATGAGAACATCCAACATTTTATACAATATCAGAAATAAGACCATAATTTGACTAATTTAGAACATATTTGCCATTCATCGGGGATTTCACCCTAAATATATATATTATGAGAGCAAATGACATCTGATGCTACACTATCAGAAATGTAATCCGATCTCTACTCATCTTCAATTTGTTTCTCACATTTAATTAGGATTCCGCTAGAAACTAGGTAAATCATTATGAGAATAAGCCATATCTGATGAAATGGCATCAGGGTTCTGACCACGCTTCAAATAAATATGGTCAGGATTTGATTCATTTGAAACATCATCCCCACAACATTTTGGGACTTTACTCGAAATGGTTAAATCACTAGAACTGGTCAGAATCATACATGGAAAAATTTTTTCACTGTCAACATTATTAAGCAAAGTTTCCTCAATGATGCTGATAATTTTCATCTAAGTTTGCTCAGACGGATTAAATACTATTATCACTAGTATTACTTCTGGAGTATCCGTTTCTGACTGATAAAGTCAATGCGAACACAAAATACAATGAGGTGAGTAGGCTCGTCTAAAAACTCCGCCGCTCCTCGTCATCGTATCTTGTTATGAAAGTTCAGTATAGATCTACGATGCTTACGGCTCATGGAACAAAAACGACCGAGCTGCTTTAGTATAATCGGTTAGGATCAATTGCACACAACACACAGAATCCCTGTCGACTAGAACAGGAAGAAGATGAACGGCAAGGAACTTTATATTCAAGGTAAAAAAATATGTCTTTGTCTCCAGTCGCTTACTGTGACTTTCTAGAGTACGGAAGATTAATGAACTTAAGACAATCACGACAAATCAGAGAGAAAGGTTCATAAGGGGAATCGGATCAAAAGAGGATACGCGGGCAGACACAGTGGAAATATACTGAGTGTCGTCACATCAACTAAGTGCATCGTGGACCGTAATAACGTTCATGTTTACGTTTATAGTCAATTAATTTGTTATATTATGATCTAATTTTTCTTATGAAATTAGATTATGTTATGAATCTCGCTATAACTCCGCCTGTAGCTCCCCCGGGGGCTACTGCCGGTCCCAAGCCCATACAAAGGAGGAGGGTTGGGCATGGGGTTAGCGACCCCATCCCGTAGAAAATCAACTCGCTAAAAAAACGCTAACCAGAAAAAATCATTTAAACTATGCCCTGGGAGTAGAAGGAATAATTATGACGTCTCATGATGAAAGCCGAGTTCCTTCGGAAGTCATGAGGCCGATGCACCTTCTTACAACCACAGCAACAATTTTTATAGGTACATGGAATGTCCGAACAATGTGGGAGACCGGAAGAGTCTTCCAAATTGCTGCAGAAATGAGAAAATACAACCTGGAGGTTCTTGGAATCAGCGAAACACATTGGACGCAGGTTGGACAACAACGACTGTCTTCAGGAGAACTTCTGTTATACTCCGGTCATGAAGAAGAAAATGCACCACATACACAAGGAGTTGCATTGATGCTGTCCAGAAAAGCACAAAATGCACTTATAGGATGGGAATCTCATAGACCAAGGATCATCAAAGCCTCCTTCAAAACAAAGAGAGAGGGCATTACAATGAACGTCATCTAATGCTATGCGCCTACCAATGACTACGATGAAGACACTAAAGACCAATTCTACGATAGGCTGCAGTCGATCGTCGAGAAGTGCCCAACCAAGGACCTGACAATTCTGATGGGAGATCTCAATGCTAAGGTTGGAATGGACAACACTGGATACGAAGACGTCATGGGACAACATGGACTGGGAGAAAGGAACGAAAATGGTGAGAGATTTGCAAACCTATGTGCCTTCAATAAACTGGTCATAGGTGGCACCATATTCTCACACAAAAACATACACAAACCCACTTAGATTTCACCGGATCACACTACACAGAATCAAATCGACCATATCTGCATCAACAAAAAGTTCAGGAGGACGATGGAGGATGTGCGAACCAGAAGAGGAGCTGATATAGCATCCGATCATCATTTGCTGGTCGCCAAGATGAAACTAAAACTCAAGAAGCACTGGACAACGGGGCGGACAACATCACAAAAGTTTAATACGGCCTTTCTTCGAGATGTTGACAAACTCAACAAATTCAACATAGCCCTCAGCAACAGGTTCCAGGCCTTTCATGACCTACTCAATGGGGAGGGAACTACCATGGAGAGCAAATGGAAAGGTATCAAGGAGGCAATCGTTTCAACATGTCAGGAGGTTCTGGGCCAAAAGAAGCACCATCACAAGGAGTGGATCACTGTTGGTATACTGGATAATATTGAAGCAAGGAGGAACAAGAAGGCAGCAATCAATATCAGCCGAACAAGAGCGGAAAAAGCCAAGGCACAAGCCGAATACACAGAGGCAAACAAGCAAGTGAAGAGGAGCATCAGAACCGACAAACGTAAATATGTGGAAGATTTAGCGATGACAGCGGAAAAGGCTGCAAGAGAAGGAAACATGAGACAACTTTATGATACAACAAAGAAACTTGCTGGAAATTACCGTAAGCCAGAGAGACCAGTGAAAATCAAGGAAGGCAAAGTAATCACCGACATTGAAGAACAACGAAACAGGTGGGTAGAACACTTCAAAGAACTCTTGAATCGACCAGCTCCACTGAACCCACCCAACATCGAAGCAGCACCCACGGACCTCCCAATCGATGTTGGCCCACCAACAATTGAAGAGATCAGCATAGCCATTAGACAAATCAAGAGCGGCAAAGCAGCGGGACCAGACAACATCCCGGCAGAGGCACTGAAAGCAAATGTAACAGCAACTGCCAAGATACTACACATCCTCTTCAGTAAGATTTGGGACGAAGAACAAGTACCAACAGACTGGAAAAAGGACTTCTGATCAAGATACCAAAGAAAGGCGATCTGAGCAAGTGCGACAACTACAGGGGCATCACTCTCCTCTCGATACCAGGGAGTCTTCAACAGAGTATTGTTAAACAGGATGAAGGATTTCATGGACACCCGACTTGGAGATCAACAGGTGGATTTCATAAGGATAGATCGTGCACAGATCAAATCGCAACTCTGCGGATCATTGTGGAACAATCAATCGAATGGAATTCATCACTCTACATCAACTTCATCGACTACGAGAAGGCATTTGATAGCGTGGACAGGACGACACTATGGAGGCTTCTACGACACTACGGCGTGCCTGAGAAAATAGTCAATTTCACTTTATTTTCTTACCAGGTAATTTCAAAGTCCATGGCTAGTATGTTTGTTACAAGAGTGATTCCAAGAGTTCCCAAAGTCCCAATTCTTAGTAAGCTTGCATCGAAACTACTTTTTATTTACTTCATACTTTAGTGCCTTGTAGGTTTTCTCGGCAAAGACTACCACCTGAATACAGAAAGCAGTATTTAGAAAAAATAAGCAATGAGGCTCTAGATAAATATCGAAAATCGGACTTTGTTGCGTATCCTGCCCTAAAAACCCAAAGGTTATGGGAAGTCCAACCACAAGAACCAAAAAAGGAGACGAAGTATGTCATGTATTTTGTATCGGTTCTGTTAAATTCTTCAATAACAATATCAATTATCGGTCAGAAATCTTTTACGTCGACCATAGTATAGTCGTTAAGCTGTAAGTGCGCAATTCAATACTGCGACTATTGAACTACACTGGGTTGATAACAAAATTCCAATTCATTGAAAAATACCTGGCATTTATTTATATACCCCTCGAGCTATGTAAATAATGAACAACTCACTGACTTGTTCGAGGTAAAGACCGGTGTCAGGCAAGGTTACTTACTCTCACCCTTTCTCTTTCACCTGGTGATCGACTGGATCATGAAGACGTCAACATCCGAGGGAAAGCATGGAATACAGTGAACAGCTAAGATGCAGCTGAACGATTTAGACTTCGTAGATGATCTGGCTCTTCTATCACACACGCAACAACAAATGCAGGAGAAGACGACCAATGTAACAACAGCCTCAACAGCAGTAGGTCTCAATATACACAAAGGGAAAAGCAAGACTCTCCGATACAACACAATATGCACCAATCAAATTACACTTGACAGAGAAGCTTTGGAGGATGTGGAAACATTTACATATCTGGGCAGCATCATTGATGAACACGGTGGATCTGATGCAGATGTGAGGGCGAGGATCGGCAAAGCAAGAGCAGCATACTTACAACTGAAAAACATCTGGAACTCAAAACAATTGTCAACCAACACCAAAGTTAGAATTTTCAATACAAATGTCAAGACAGTTCTATTGTATGGGGGGGAGACGTGGAGAACTACGAAAGCCATTATCCAGAAGATACAAGTGTTTATTAACAGTTGTCTACGCAAGATACTTCGGATCCGATGGCCAGACACTATCAGCAACAAGTTACTGTGGGAGACAAACCAGATTCCAGCGGAGGAAGAAATCATTAGGAAGCGCTGGAAGTGGATAGGGCACACTTTGAGGAAATCACCCGATTGCGTCACAAGACAAGCCCTCACATGGAATCCTGAAGGTCAACGGAGAAGAGGAAGACCAAAGAACACATTACGCCGAGAAATAGTGACAGACATGAGAAGAATGAACAAGAACTGGAAAGAACTAGAAAAGAAGGCCCAGGACAGAGTGGGTTGGAGAAAGCTGGTCGGCGGCCTATGCTCCATTGGGAGTAACAGGCGTAAGTAAGTAAGTAAGTATGAATCTCGCTATAAGTGTAATTCCTATTTCCTTTGTTGGACTGCGTTACACCGGACACGTGCGTTACATGCTGGGATAATATCCTAAGGTACACATAGATCAATAACAGTTATGGTCGTTTATTCAACTAGGCCATCAATAAATGATGGAGAACAGTTTGAAGTTAAGTTTATTTCCGGTTGTCGTGCTGTAAACCATATGTATATCATTAAAGTAGATGATCTGTGTCGGATGATTGGGATCCTACTCCAGTCAGACCGACCCGCTAATGTCGAAGTCACGTCTAGAGTTTAGTAGCTAGCATGTATTATTTTCCAGGTGCTATGGCTATTTGGACGACCGTACAACACAAACGACGTTATTACACAAATATATAAATGAAGGTACACACAAGGAACAGAGCATGAACACTACTTTATTAGTCAGTCCATGCCTTGCAAATAATTGATGCTCGTTGGCTGTCCGTGACCCTAATGAAGGTGGGTGAACTGTTCGACATTCAACCATTCGGCTTCCGGATGTTTTACCTCAGAGGTTGATATTCATTACACTCTCATTATCATGGCTGAACCCTTTCACTAGTTGTTCATTTCTTTTCTCGTTCACTCTTTTCCTTCTAAGTACATATTATTTTTAAGTATCAGAAGTTTGTAATTAAGACAGTAACTTGTGTTACACTCAAATAAATTAAATTTTCCAAATTCGTTTAATCTTCACCACCTATATGTGTCTCATACATATTGATATTTGATTATCCATTGGGATTAATTGAGACTCATAGCATCACTCCAAACTATTACTTCAAAAACGCTTATTCTACCGTCAAACCCTACTGCAACAGTGATTTGGTTTCTTATTTGTTTGTTTATTTTTTAAACAAATCTTTCCTTCTATTTTATTATTCATTTGGTGATACATAATCGTTTATTCTTGTTCTGTGTTCACAAAATGATCTCTTCACAACGCTTATGTACCGATAAGCTATTTGTGAATAATAATTTGGCTAGAACTCAGTTGCATTTCACTGACACCACCCATGTTTCCTAAACGACTGAAATAACATCGTTTTCTTTTACATTTACCTACCTACTCCTGTCGCTCCTCATTGGGGAGCATAGGTTGCTCACTAGCATTCTCCATGAAACTGTCTTGGGTAATTGTGATAATTTGAGGTGTTTGAATTATAGTACAAACTAGAAATCCCAGGACTGACGCAATTTGACCAAGAAGAACTATAAGAGCACGAACAAACGTATCGTATTTAGAATCGTAAATCAAGCAGTCATCGAGTAAAAAGGAAACATTATTTGATTCAAACACAACAACCGCCACAGCTCAGATGAAAATCAATCATACCTCTTCTCCTTAGGTTCATCATGTGTCTGTCCGATTGTGTAGTAGCTGTAGACTCTGTATGATCTAGAATATACTCATTAGTATTAGAATTACCAACTAAAATTCGAACGGAATCACCTGGGTCCTGGAATTGCACATGATCAACATTTCGGCTATGTACTGAAACCACTGATATCTAGAGTTTGAACCATATATTTTCCAACGCTCCCCCACGAAATGATGTTCGATCATTATATTCCCAAGTTAGGAATAAAGTGGTTTCATTTAAAATAAATTTCTCACATTGACCAAAGTATTCATTGAACGTGACTTCATGATAACGATAAACATTTTATATGAATTGTAATCAAAATCGAACTCATTCAGTACTCGTGCTTCGCAGTGAACAAGTTTTCCACAAGAAACAAATACATTATGAGAACGAATGACATCAGATTTTGTTCCTTTTGAAACATTTTATTCTTACGCGCGCTATTTAAAAAGGACAGTGGTATTTTTCCTCGTTGAGTAAATTCTATTGTTTTGATCGTTATTAACGTATCAAGACTACTGTTTATACTTCCATTGAATTTCTTTCAGTTAAAGTATTCGACTAGAGTGTCATTTTTGGTATCCTAAATAGTTTTTATCGACGGTACTCCAGAGTACCTTGTTTTTCTATTGTATCTGTTAGTATTTTGGTCATAACTATTTATAGTTTTTTTTCTACTTTCACTCAAAACTCACTTTCTCATCCTAAAATGACTGTAAGATGCAACAAAAGCATTTGCCACCCCCCAGGATATCGATATCCCGTTGACAGCGGCATGCAGTGCGAAGAGTGCAAACATTGATACTACGAAGTTTTCATGAATCTAACGCCTGCAGCTTTTAAGCGGTTCAGTAAGAATGGATGCATCTGGCTATGTCAACAGTGCTGTTTGGATGCAAATAGCCTGCTAACCGGGGCCATCTCAATGGTGAATGCCGCGGAAAAGTGTCTCGGCAAGAGCGGTCGGGACACATCAGTCAGAACTCGATCTGTCGACACGCAGATTGACATAAGACAGGCCCAAGTGAGCCCAAAAAATGCTGACCCACACTGTCCAAAGGAGAAAGGACATCCTCCAAAGAGGTCTGTCCCAACCAGAAACTCGCGCAAAAAAGTCTCTTCTGTCCCTCGTATCAAAAATGGTACCCAGCAGGGAACATCCGGAACCCAAAATCGCAAGGCTCGATCGGTTTCCAGCGCGAAAGATGACCCAACCTCCCAAGTCGTCTTGAACCTTCCGGAATCCTACAGTACGCCTGACGCGACTGTGGTTACTACTCCGAAGAACGTCGCCGATTGGGTACGGGTCGTAAGAAAAAAATGACGGAACGACGTAAAAAAGAATCATACCCCCACCAAAAGTGTCGACAAGCCGAGGTCTGATCACATCGACAGATCACTCATTTTCCATAGAGTCAAGGAGAGTGACAACTTAGAACCGAAAGCTCGTTTTGAGCATGACATTGTGTTGATAAAACAACTACTCAACCAAGTTATGCCCAAAAACATCTCCGGAGTCACCTTTCTAAAGGTGTATAGACTAGGAAACCTAGAGCATCTGAACCCAAATAAGTCTAAACTACTCAAGGTCTTTTTCAAATCCCCAAACGAACGCGACTTAATCTTAGAAAATGAACACAAATTAAAAGATTCAGGAGTTTTTCTCCCTAAGGACTTACCGTTGGTGGACCGTGTAAATAGACGGGAGGCCGAAAAGAAACTAGAGCTCAGATTAGACGATGGCGAAAAAGACCTGAAAATCGTAAATTTTCGGGTTGCGAGGCTTCAACAGAGGATGATGCCGAAGCCACTCTGGGTGAAGCACGAAGTCACTTAAATAGGCTTCGGATCTGTTATACCAATGCTCGGAGCTTACTGAATAAGCTACCGGAACTAGGTGTACAGATTGACTCAACTAGGCCAGACATAATCGCAGTCACAGAAACATGGCTGACGCCGTCTGTAGATAGTAGGGAACTTGATTTCGAGAATCTTACATTAGTAAGGGCCGATAGAATACAAAAGCGTAAAGGAGGGGGAGTAGGTCTATTCATTAGGAATGCTATTCCATTCACCATTATTGACAATGTGTCTTATGAGGGTGGGACCTATGAATTAGTTAGTTGCCGCTTGAAATGCAGGGGACAAGAGTTGCTGCTTAGTTTGATCTATCGCAGTCCAAGCTGCGAGGTAAACGAGGTCCTGCTAAGCAGTCTCAACACTTTATCACGAAGTGGTCGATGTCTAATCCTAGGGGACTTTAATGCACCCATGGTGGACTGGGGAAATCTGCGGACTGAATCGTCAGCAAATTCCTTCGAACAGGAACTAGTTGATGCGGTAATCACATGTGCCCTAGTGCAACACGTGAAGGAAGCAACTAGGTACGACCCGGATTCTGAATCATCCCTACTAGATCTTATATTGACTCATTATGAGGATGACGTTGCAAACCTGGATTACATGCCACCCCTAGGCAAAAGTGATCATGCAGTTTTAAGCTTTGACTCCCATATAACTGTCGATC